TGCCAGCGCTGGTGAGCAGTGCAGCACGCCTTGCCATTTGGAGCTACTGTAAACAATGTATGGGCGTCAAAAAGATCCGAACAAGCAGTGCTGCCGCAAAGGAACGGGAGCACAAAGCCATGTCTCCAACCTGTGACGACAGAGCACAAAACCTCCTGCGCAGCGCTGGGGGTGTAAATGCTTGCTCCTGCCATAGCATAGGTGTTTTCTTCCATTTTCTTGCAGGTGTGGTACTTCAGAGAATGCATCTTAGGTGCTTCGCATCCAACAGATGAGCAAGGCTGGATGCATCTTGTGCCAAAAGTGGAATAGTGGTATCTTAGCATGCAAGAAAAGACAATTATGCTGTTCCCTGAGGTAGCACCGACATAAACTGTTCAGTACGTTTATGTTTTCAGGAATCGTTAGCTGTTGATATTTTTATGAGCATTTTATAGGCATTGTTCAAATGAACACTTTTGTTTGCTGCTGTGGACTTAAGCACTCAAGAGCTATTAGATTTTCCGTTCTGTTACTGCTTTTCTCCCCATAAACTGATAGGAAGATGCTCCAGCAATGACGAAATGGAGTGAAAAGCTTCAGAGTCAGTACCTGGGAGAATGGCAGGGGAAAAACTTAAACCACTGTGTATGTTTCCTGATGGTTTTTTTTCTTTGGTGGTTCTCTTCTCTGCCTGACTCAGTATAAAACTACCAAGAGTAAAGGTCTTTTCTTCCTAAAAAGTTTTTCTTATGGAAAAAAATGTATTGTCATTAAATTATATTGGAGGAATAATTGCTTGCTTGAGGGAGGGATATTGTTAATGAGAGAAATAGTGCAGTTGATACCATCAGGCAGAATTAACTATCAGCTGGTCTACTTGTGCCTTTCTGCCTTGAGCAAAAGCATACTTAAAACAGTAGGTTTCTATCTGACATGTTTTGTAAACATATTGTTTGTTGTCTAAACAATCCAATACTCACATCTAAAAATCCTGTTTGTTTTGTTTTTTTAAACAGAATTACTGAACAATTTTTGGAAGGGCGAACTGCTCTAAAACTAACATCCTGTTGTAAAGAGGTTTTGTGAATTGCTCCAGTGGGCAGTTCTGTTCACTGGTCAGTGTTCCAAAACTTGACTTGATGCTGGGAGAGGAGAAAGGAAGATGTTTGTGTTAATTGACACAGGTATTCAGGGAGTGGGAAAGTGGTTTGAAGCTTGTTGTGTCAACATAGACTGCCAGCTTAATTTCATTAAGGCTTGACACCTTAGAGAAGCTTTTAATGGATATTATCCAGTTCTTGAGATGCCTCCATCAACTTTTCTTCGGTGTAGGAGATGATGTTAGTATCGGTGAAGTGGTAGCTACTCTTCCAATTTCAAAGGAAACACAAAAGTTTGCAGTGTGACTCAGCTTTACGAGAACACGGCTTTAAGCAACATTAATCCTAGCTGACTGTTCATGTGTTTTGTTTGTGTAATATCCTTGTAATGTAGCTATTCCCATTAAAGAAAGCCAGCATCCTTTGTTCTCCTCTAAGCTATGTAAGACATGACGACTGCAGAAGTAGTTTGGGGCCTGAAGCTGCAGTGACTGAATGCTGCTGGAATGTAATGTGTCACATCTGGTAAAAGGGGAATAGAGCCATAGCTTCAAAAATTCAGACTAGCCCTTTATTTGGGGGGTGGGTAGATGGTGGTTGGAACTAAAACATCCTTGATAGGTGGGAAAGAAGGAAGAGAGCCTGGTTAGATAAAAATTCATATTGCTGATACTGTTTCTTTAAAGAAAAAGCTGAAAATAAAATTAATAAGAAACCCTAAATTCTGGTAGATTTAGATGGCAACGTGTGTCTTTATGGGTCAAAAAAAAATAATTTTGGATACAGCTCGAAATCATAGCAATTTATGCAACTGAGCCAAGAAATAAGTGTATTTAGAGAGCAGCAGGAGCAGCTGGCTAGTTAATATCCTGCAGCAAATACGTGAAGACTGCTGCTTTTTTTTAGCCCGTAGCGTGTACAGCCATTTCCCTTTTGGGTATTACAGTCCTCATCATTCCTGCCGCTGCTTCTCCCGTGGTTATCCAGCAAAGGAGTTACCTGTTTGTTCTGCTCTGTGCTGCAGAGGTGGTTCATCGGGGGGTGTTTCCTTCTTCCTTGAGATGAAGGGAGCTTTGGTCCCTCTCATCGACATTTTAGGCTGCACATGCACGTGGCGTCACTGGTTCTGTTTGCTGAGAAGCAGAGGGCATCCGCAGTCTGCTGGGATTAAGACTTGTGGAATACTCTTCTGCTTTTAGATGGTAACTGAAGAAAAAGATATTGATTAGTATGAATTACTGGGAGAATAATTTAGTGTGTGTTGAATATTAAAGATGTCAGAGCCATAGTTAGCATCTCCTCGGTGGCATGCTGACTCCTTACCGCTGCATTTTTTGGAGTGTGTGGTAGCACAGCTGCCGAGGTCCCTTTTAAAGTCTTGTGTGTTACAGCAAATACAGGATGAGCACATGAATGAGCAATCTTTCTGTTGTCTCACTTCCTTGGAAGTTTAAATGGAGCATTAATCCTCTGCACCATTGTCATCCTCTACCTGCCCATCTATCTCCTTCCTCTCTTTGTTACAAATAGTCTCCTGAGGTTTAAGTGTGAGGAGAAAGTAAGATTGGCGTTTTTAGCTGTTAAATGAGGTTAATCAGCTTGGCAGTGGGTGGGAGAAATGTGCTCGGAGGTTAAGAATGTGATATTAGTGGTTAGCAGGACCCTTATTATCAGTCCAGTGTGAATTTCCTTCTGTTAGGCATGAACTTTTTGATTAAAAATTACCTGATTGTCTTATTGTTCCTATAATTAAGAGAAACACAGAAATCGTGGGGACGGGGAGTGTGTGTGTGTAAAAGAAGACATCCTTGTTGTCTTTTCTTGAAGACAGCCTTGCGTTTGACAGAAGGGAATTAGGACTGTAAATCACTGCTCTACAAAATGCACTTTAACTGGCACAAAGAGAAGAAATGAAACTACTGGAATTTCTGCGGGATAAGGAAGGTTCATCTGAGCAGACTTGGAGCTGCGTAATTTTGGCAACTGCCCAGAATGGCTGAACTGCTGGGGAGGAATGCTAATCCTTTTTGCTAGCTTTTGGCATAAACAGGAAAAATATGCAGATAGGTTTTCCAAAAATACATCCCCCTTTTTTTTCAGAATGCACAGTGCACTACAGGGATGCAAATAATACGGCAAGATAACCTGAATGGAGCCAGTATTCCTCACTTCAACAGTTAAAAGCCTCGAGAAGCAGCATATCAATTTTTGCAATGTCTGCTTGACTTCCATCCATAAATGACAGCCTGCTGGCAGAAAGACCAGAAGGAATGATTAAAGCCATGCAACACTCCCTCTCTAACAGAAGGAGACCATCTTACAGATTGCGAACATAATTGACTGTTTTAATTAATTTCACCTTCTTGACTTTCATACTAAAATCTGAAAAACAAAGTTACTATTTTTATATAAATGTACATGTAATTAGTAGCCAAAGAAACAAATAGGATATGGAAATAACAGCTAAAACATTTGCTGACAAATGCAAATTTCAGCCTAAATATTTTACTCTGCCTGGCAGTAAATCATTGCTGGTAAAAAGATGCACAACAAGGCTTCTTGCATAAATCCAACTTCAGTTGTACAACAGAGAATTCACACACTGTTATATTGGATATTCCTGCACCACAATAGCAGGAAGGAGCAGATGTAGCCAGCGTGTCAGCTTGGCACTGCGCTCGGCAGAGCTGCTGCTGCTGCATTAAGACATAACCCGTTCAGGTGCATCTGATCACGCCTGAAGACAGCAAAACTGCAACACTACTGTGCTGCCTGCGTCCTCTCCGGCTGAAGGGATCCACCCTGGCTTCCATTTCAGATGGGATTAAATTTATCCTTGGAATGCAGAGGTGTATCGAGTAGTGCAGTTGATTACATTGCATCAAATCAGCTGCTCAATGGGAATATCCTGCGATCTAGCCATCACCAGATTTCTTTGTGGATGTGAAAATAGGGCGAAACAATGCATTTTGGCAGATTTAACCTTGCATTTTCAAGAAAGCATTTAATAGATTTTTAACCCCGTGGTTTGACGTTTCCAGTTAAACTATAGAAAAAAAAACAAAAACGTTGAAGTGACAACCAAAATTATCGTGATGGTACTTGGAGATTATATTCATAGGATTGTTTTTAATCATGTGGAGTCCAAAGTTTCTTTTCCAGGGGTGTAATTCCTGTTACAATAAACAAGGCAAGTCTCATGTGGCACTACTGTGCATTCAAAAAGTGGCTTACTGTTTACTTTCTCCTTCCCCCCACCAAACTCAAACCATATCCATGTGTACGAATGTGTACTGTCACGTTTCCAAGAATCTTAGCTTTCGAGTTGGTATTGTCAGATACTGGTTTTTGGTCTTTAAAGGGTTTTGGTGCTTAAAAAGAGAATATTTTTACTCTTAATCCTATAATGAACTCAAACACAATGATGCTTGTAGTATGAAGTTTAATTATACAGCCTGACTGCAGCAGCAGTGTTAGATATACCAGAGTGTTTGCCCAAGTACTCTGCTTGTAGCTGTAGTGCTGGGAAATGACTGAGGCATGTCGATTACTGAGAATTGTGATGTAGAAGGCACAAACATATGAACTGATTGAACCAAACAGATAAATAGTAAGCCTGCTGATGCAGATAACTTGTCTTCAACCGATTCTTTTTGCACTGAAAACTTCCCACCTTATTTGCAACCAAATATTGCACAGAAGCACAGGAAGGGTGCTGATCCCAATGAAAATGGATTTAGCTTCTATTTTCTTACAAGCTTACGTTACTGGTTTGAGGGTGTACAAGTGAGGGAGACCATCTGCTTTACATTTCAAGTAACTGTCATCATCCCACAGCTATCAGAAGACTTGTGATTTTGGGGAAATAAATTACTTTTCTCCATAGTTAACACTTTCCCTGCAAATCTTGTCTTTCAGATGGGAAGAGGAACTGACAAGAAGAATGAGTCTGGAATCTATGGTGGAAACCTTGCGAGAAGTAAGTTTTGAGTAGCATGTATTGAAAGATGTGAGCTTTCTCTGCACCTTTTATTATGCTGTTAATCATTTGAATTAATCTTTTAATTAAAAGCCTTTCCTCTAGCTAGAGCAGCTGACTCTGTTGTGGTATGCTAGAGAACAGTGTTGATATTTGGAAGCTGAAGCAGGAAGGTGCTGGATTTTCTGACTAAGTGAAACATGGGGGTGGTGGTGTGCCTTATCAGCCCTGCGCAGGTTAAGTAAGGAAGCATATGTTGCCCTCTTACCTCTTAATTCTTTGTGTGCTTTCTCTTGCAGGAGGCACAGGAAGCGGAAGCTCTCCAGGAGGAGTTAAATGAAAAGATTGAGAGGCTGAAAGCGGAACTTGTGGTCTTTAAGGGTCTGATGAGTGATGTAAGTACATGGAGAGCAGAGTGACCAGCTCCCACTGCCTTTGTGAAATGTCTGTGTCATGCAAATGGCTTCATTCATAAAAAGGTTATGGTCTTAGTGAGTGCTGCTTTGTAGTTAGCATTATGGCTGCCTTTATGATCTAATGCATCAGACAGATCACCCTTCCCCCTGCTTCCTGTCTGGTCTGTGTAGATGCATTAACTTGCTGCTTAGCCCATAACCTGGACTCTTCCCTCCCTTCCCCGTTCTCCACAGCTGGCAGTGCTGACATTCAGATCTGCAGCTGTGGAAAAAAAAATAATTGGAGAACTCACAGGTTAGTGTAAAGGGTTCATCCCCATGCAGCACCACGTACTGCTAACAATGGAGATTTTGCTCTGAATCATGCAAGAAAGTCATGTTCAAAAAGGAACACGCTATATGTGTTTCCCAGCACCCTTTATGAAAGCTCTGCAGATATTAACCCAGTATCACTGGTTCAGGTATCTGGCTTTGTTTCTAGTGTTGTTTTGACCTAATTTAAAAAACAAACAAACAAAACATACTTGTTTTCTCAGGTCTGGTTAGATACAGACTTTCCTTCAAAGCTGGGGGGAATTTTTAGACTATGACTGGAGAATTTTCTTACACTTAGACATACTGCAAGCATGTATTTGTGCAAATATCTAGAAAGATAACCCAGGTGAACATTAAGTAAGGTGCCTCTCTCTGTAAGACTGAAGTAGTGCTGATGCCAATTGTCTAATGAATATGTCCTGTTATGCTTATTTATTCTGTAATTTTGCATAGAACTGCTTCCTTCTGTCTTTATATAAGCTTGTAGAACCTGCTCCTTGTGTCAAATACATTCTCTCAGGGCCACTAGTTCTGTTCATGGGAAATTCGGCAATTAGCTGTCTCTTCTTTTGGTGTTTAATCGAGAATAGGCATGCTTGGTTAGAGGCAGTGTGAAAGGGAGAAACTTGTTAGGACTCCATCAATGCGATGACTTTTTCGCTGAGGAAGAAATGTTGCTCAGTGTGTACAAAAAGGGTGATGGTGGATGCAAACATCCTCCTCAACTTGAGAGAAAGTGTGCTTTGGGCTTTGTAAGGGAGAGGACAGCCTGAGGAAAGCAGTGCTTGTTTTGAATCCCGCTGTGTAAATATTTAGCACAGAGAAATGCAAAATGTTGGCACGTGACTCTTGCTTTCCTGTGGATAAGAATCACTGGTACCTGTGCAGTTGACAAGATTGTGTTCAGAGTGTGTCAGTGGTTAGAGATTTCTTTTCCTCAGTGTGTTTGGAAAACAAAAATCTCTAAAGGTGTTTGACAGGCTGGAGAACAACTCTGTCTAATAACTTTTTTTAAAAGACAAAAAAAACCCCAACAAAACAAACTCCAAAGCTTTCTTCTTGGAAAGGGGATTTGGTATTTAAGAATGCTCTGCAAAGAGGTTTTTCTGCTTTTCTGGTCAAAGTAGCAGCTTTGCTTAGCCATTGAAGTGGTACTTTCTAACAGAGTAAGTCTCGTCTAGGCTGGAAAATATGCTTTTTGTGGCAGTGTTTCTTCATAAGGAGCCAGCTGTACTGTCTGAGTGGGAGTAGCTCTTATAAATTATGTTTATAATTACTGCTCAGAGTGAAGCAAGACAAAATATTTTTCATGTACAATTTTTGCTAGGCTGGAAGCCGGGTTACTGCCGATGAGGAGTGTTTTGTGTTTTACAAGGTTACGTGGATCTCTTTAGATCCAGTCTTGATTTTATGTTTTTATGGTATGTATGAAGTTGCTGAGTAGCCTGGATTCTGTTTTAAAAGCAACTTCTCCTCGCAGACACAGTTTTTCTGTCTGAAAGGGAGGGACTGTTGCATACTCACCAGGTTTTAGATTTCATTCTCTTCTGCACATGCTTAACAGGGTTTTTCTCCTCCATTTTTAAAGCTTTATTGACAAAAATAAAAATTTACTGTTGCCACATCTAGCACGTGTTCTGGGGTGGGTATAGGTTTTTCAGTGGCAAATGACTGAGTTGAAATTTTATTAGAATCGGATATGAATGTCAATTTTAAGCTGTCTAGCCTATTTAGATTGTCCATGTACTGCCTTTCCCGGAGAACAAGATGTAATATTGTTTAAGAATGGTATGCCCTGGGGTTAGAGAGATACTGTGGGGTATCTCTTCTGTCCTGAACTGTATAATAATAGAAGATAATCACTACTGTCCTTCCTGCAGCCCATGACAGACCTGGACACAAAGATTCAAGAAAAGGCCATGAAGGTGGACATGGACATCTGTCGACGAATCGATATCACAGCCAAGCTGTGTGATGTAGCGCAGCAGCGCAACTCTGAAGACGTTTCCAAGATATTCCAGGTGATTAGGCCATGAATTTTCCATAGGGTAGGGCAAGAAGTGAGGGGCCAAGAGGGAGCAGTGTTGAGGAGTGTGGTCCAGGTCATTCGCCTTTTCTTGAAATTTCTCTATACAGACATATTTTCTTCTTTCTCAGTCTTGAAGTGTAGCTCTCTTCTGCAGAAACTGCTGTAGTACTAAGAGCACAAAATTTAGAGAATAAAAGAAGAAGTCTCAGGATGACCTTTAAGACATGCTGTTAGTCTGATGCTAGCCTACAGTGAATGCAGGGAAAAAAGCATTGCAGAGTCGAGGTTTGTATAAATGGCTTTCTCACATTTGTTCCCTTCACAAGTGAGAGGTTTGGAGCTTGTAGAACTGTCATCTGAATGTTCTTATTTCTGGCTCAAGCTCTGTGGTCAGAAATAATGCTCCTGTGGTGGTGAGCTATGACTGCTCTGTGGGACTAGAAACTTCAGTTGCTTTCCTTGAGCTACTGTGGCTCCTTGGTGCTAGTGGGAAAGTCACTTAATTTGCTCCAAAAGCAAGCAGTTACAGCTCTGCGTGGAGCAAACCTGTAACTCCCAGTGCAGTTGGTCTTCTGTCATAACTGCAATTTCAATTGTGATTAACCCAGCTTCCTTCTACTTTGATCTAAATGTGCCTTGTTCAGTCTTTCAGTAAGTCGATGCTTTTCTCTGTATAGTGATGCCATATAGTGCACTAAATGCTGTACAAAAACACTGTGAAAGATCCTTGTGGTCTCTACTGGTTGTGCTTTCTGCCTATAGTGAAGTTGCCTAAATGTTTGATGGGGCTTTTTTTCTTATGTATACCGAAAGATTCGTATCTCCTTTTTGGAGAGAATTATTTTTCTAGCATGTGGAGCCATTGCATTGTGCTAGTGGTTCCTTCTTGTCTTTGAGTAGAATTGCTGTGTATTTCTGCTCAAAGGTAACTGCAAAGCGCACTTTTGGTCAAGCATGCAGTGGTTAAAATGATCAGCATGGAGAACAATACTGATAAAGAGACAGCTTATATGCCAAGTAGAGGAAAAACGGCAGTAGGTTGGGAGCGGAGTGTGTGTTTGTGATTCTGTGGCACCATCTGTGAATATCTTTGATGTTCACAGTCCTAAGATGAAGAAGGGATCCTTTGCAGGGGTATCCCTTGAGTTCTCTGCGCATCTATGAACTTCATTTCTTTGAGGTTGTCCAGGTGCTTTCATGATTCAGTTAACCCTTCTTCTGTCAAGCTGAAGACTAGCAGTCTACTTCTGCTGATGGGGTGGGACGACCCTGAAATAAAGGCTATCTAGAAAAGCTTCCTATCTACTCTTTCGTAGTGGCTCAACGCTGGGAGCAACAGCCTGTGGTGTGGTGGCAGGAGAGGGAGAGTTCTGTCATTGCTCTCGAGCCTGCTGCCTGGGCACTCCTGCCAGCTTACGCTTTTACCCTGTATCATTCTAACCTCTGCATGTTCTCTGGTAGATCATAGACTGGTGTTGGTGAGCAGATGAACATCTGTAGAGCGCTGGCAGCCTGCAGCTTGCTTTGCTCTTTGCCGTTCTGATCTGCTTCCTTGTGCTGTGTTCACCACTCATTAACAGATGCAATTCCTGTCTTGAATATGAACAATCCCTGAGTTGCCTGGGAACCGATGAACAGTTATATTCGCTCAAACCTAATGCCTCTCCTTCTTTATTTCTGCCCCTCATGGCACAGCACTTCATTTGAACCTTCTAGTTACTGCTCTTCTCTCCAATTAAGGTGGCTTCCAAGAAGAAAGAACGCAAGCTCGCGTCTGATGATGACCTCTCTGAACAGGATGGAGACAATGGCAGGTTCTCTGATGATGAGGTCAGCTGTTCTTTGAACATCACGGATGAAATGAAGCGTATGTTTAATCAGCTGTGAGTATCGTGGACAACATGGAGAAAACTTACTGTGAAACGCAGATTTAATCCCAGAACTTAAGTATCAAGTTATCACTATATGCTTCAGAAATATTATTTTTTTTCCACCCAGTGGTCACTATAAGTTGAACTTCAGCTGCCAAGATGGTACTTACTTGAAGGTTTTCTGGAAGTTCAAATGAGGGAACTATATAGTAATAAAACTAAGTGTTTATATGCTTTTATAACTTATATCAGTAGCAAAAGAAGAACTACACAAAAAAAACCCCAAATTTAAGTCTGTTCTGTATGTTCGGCTCCAAGAAGAGACTCTGTGCACCTTGGTGCTACATAAAGCAGTTCAGAAAGCCGGTTGGTGGTGTGCTCTGCTGTTCCCTTCTCCTGTTTTAGAAAGGATGGAAATGGCCACAGCCTGGTGAAACTTCTGAGGATCTCTGCCATTTTCTTTTAAGAACGAAGACCCCAGCAAGGGCCATAGCTCTGACTTTCTTAGCATTTGAGTATGGGTGTCCTCTGCCAACTTCTGCAATGACTGCAGAGGGAAGAATTCCCAGTGCTTTCCCATACAGTGTCGGTCAGCATTTAATATATAGGAGTACACAAGAAACTCTCTCAGTAGCACTAGCTCTTCTTCTGTTGTCAACTGTTGCCAAAAGTTCTGTTTTCAGGGTGTGTCTGTTTCTTTCCTCCTGACTTTCACATATAGGAGGGCATGTGTTTTGCAAAAATTGTCGGTAGCTCTTCTTGTTAGGACTCAGCACAGTCATGTATGTCCAGGTTTCAGGGTTTTTTTTTAAATTATTTTTTTAAAGTCATACTGAGTATACACATATAGCCTGTCTCTTCTGCCAGGCTGTTCAGCCTCCTAAAGACTCAGCTTCCGGTCTGAGATGTTATCTGCTTAATAGGAAGTGAACTAAAGTAACAAAAGTGCATCAGTGTGAAATTAACAGTCTGCTTCTGGGTGCAGTTTCAGATTTTTGCCAGGCCTCCTTAAGAAGGACAAGAAGCAGCTACTTGTGTTTCGCTCTACTGCTGTTCAAACCAAGAGGGACTCAGTGCCTTCTGAAGCTTTCCTTTATTACACAACTGACCGTACTAAAGGGGCTTGGCCAAATAACAGTGTTAAAGGCCACTCTTGCCACTGTTTGTTCTCAGTCTGAAGTGGCTGTAGTATTATCTTTGTGGTTTAAGTCAACAACAAGTATTTATGTTCACCTGCACATCATTTTGGGGTTCAGTTTTTCAGAGTTGTTACTTTTGACAATAATGTTTTAAAGTGCTGCAGGGGAAATGTTGGCTCAACTTCAGCAAGAAAATCATCAGGGAGTCTTCTAGTGGCTGTTTCTTGTAAAATTCCTCAGACTGTGTTTGGGCTCATTTTCCCATGAATAAAGAATAGTTTAAAACATTTTTGTGGTTTTTGCAAACAGGGGAAACTAATGTGCAGCACCATCTGGAGGACAGAGCTAGGACTGTGTACTTGAACCGGGAGTGCTAACAAGGATCTTTTATTCTGCCCTGAGGTGGCAAAGAGCCCAGGAGTTGAGGGACTTGGACAGTGGTAAAGGCTGTTTGTAAAAACTGTGAGGATTTTCAGCGGCTGCATTGTCTCCTTCATTCAGTTCTCATAGCCCCTTTTTTTCTAGAAGATTAATTGAAGAACTGAGGGAGTGGAGCTGGAGTAGTTTTCACTAATGCTTTTCCTGTTATCTTAATAGTCGTGAGACATTCGATTTTGATGACGACTGTGATAGTTTAACGTGGGAGGAGAATGAGGAAACGTTGCTTCTTTGGGAAGACTTCACAAACTGCAATCCTTCAATTGACCTCCAAGGAGAGGTGAGTTTATTTTATTATTTTCTCAAACTCTTCTCTGCAGAAACTATATCCCTCAGCTGCTCTTTTAGCCATTTGAGCCTTTGAATATTTGACTGGTGATCTAGTTTGCCACGCAAACTGGCTTTGATTTTAAAATCTTCTTAGTGCTTTCTGTCTATGGTTGCTTTTCAGTGTGCGCAATCAGTTTATTTGCCAAACTTCATTTCTTCTGCTCCTTCAAACTGAGTATTTAAAAAGTTTCAAAAGATCCAATGCATCTGGCTGTTACAGGAGCTTCACACAATCCATCACCCAAAGCAGTTGCTTGTCTAAAGCCCTGTATCTTCCACACAACATCTCACTTTCTCTGTAGATTGTCATTCACATTTTAATTGTCAAAAGAGTACACGTAGTGTGAGGGATGATACTGCGCAATTATTCTAGTGGGGGAAAAAAAACAACCTCTGTGGTCTGTGAAAGATGTTAAAGTACATCCAGCCCATCACAAACAAAGAAGCTATGGTTGCAGGACTGTGTAAGGCCCCAGGGATCTTCTGAACCCATGAGTCTTGTGATTCCATCTTCCTAGTGTTGGCGGATAATAAACAGTTTGCTTTTAATCCTTCAGATCCCACACAAAGTAAGCTAATGGCTGCATGCTGTCTCATTCAGTGACTCCTGGGCCTTTTTAAACAGGCCTAAAGAGAGATTGAAATGGCAAGGTCTGGCTTTCTGTGGGTAGTCTTCAATGTGACGCTTGTATGTTATTACTGAGTAACAGGACAGCAGTAGGTAAGAAATAATCCTGCCTTCTTCCATCATCGCTGTAGTGCAAAGATGCTGAGGCAGCAGTCTCCTGAATATTGTCTTGTGTTGACTGCCAGGGGTATGTTAATTTACATCTTCCCATTTGTGTATCATCTGGCATACTTTGAAACTGCAGAGATTACTCAGAAGTGCTAGGACTGCAGAAAGCAGCTACATGTACTTAGCTACATGTCGTCTTTTGAGCAGGGAGACTGGCAGAGTGATAATGTGCAGCCATGTGCTAGAATTAGTGACAGATTTATTTGCATATACCCATGTGTGAATGTATAAGCGTAGCTATCAGAGGAATATTGCCGAACTCAGACCTTCCGTGCGAAAACTCTAAAGGTTTTAAGAAGCTTAAATCCTTCTAAATGAAAATTATACAAGGAAAGGGTAGATTTGTCTTGTAGATGGAGATTCAGAATAAAGACTGCTCAATCTGTGCCTGGTCTTTAACATAGTGCTTTACATGCCTGAATCTTCCTTCCACTGGCTTTATTCCTTTCAAGTTCTTATGCGGTGCCCTAGCCACCTTCTTTTATGACCTTCCTCCCTAAAGCGCTTCTGCATATAAAAGGATAAGCGGAGTGATTCTTGTAACTATAGGCTGGTTAGCCTGACGTTGATCCCAGGTATGATCCCTGATCAAGCTGCCACAGATGTGGCCAAAGGATGGAAACATAATTAATGCTCATCAGTGCAGTTGCGTTAAATTAATGATTTTTTTTTTTTAAGATGGTAGTTAATAATTTGAAAGAGAGAACAATGACATTGTTTTAATCTCTTTGTGACGGTATAAAAGAGTGCTATGTATTTTGTAGCCTAGGCTTTACTGTGAATGTAAAGCAATGATGATACGGGAGCTGTTGTCTGGCAGCATGTTTCCTTTGGGACAGCATGTGTTTTTACGTGTGATATTTTCATCAGTAGTGTGCTGGGGTGAACTTGCTTTATCTAGCAGTTAAGTGAAGAATTTCAATAGGAAGCAATGCGTGCAGGGCATACGTGTGAGGTAATGGAGACTGAAAAGACTCGAGAGTAATAAAATATAATTGGAAAATGAGAATTCTGGTGCAAAGCTGTAAGTAATGCTGTGGTCAATGCAAGAAAAAATGGTTTCATGGCTGGAGAGCAATTACAGTCTAAGCATGATCAGACTGTGAAAGGTTCAGGAAAATCCATGGGTTTGGTTCTTTGGCATGCACCGGGTATCTGTGTTTAATTGCTGGAGCCTTGGTCTGTAGGTTCTTTGATCAGAGACTTTATCTGGTGTGTACAAAGCCATGGTCATGGTACAAAAATGTGTTTCCTGCTGTGCCAGGTTTAAGAAGCAGACTATTCCTTGCCTGTGTACAAAAGTATTAAAGAAATCTTTGCATGGAAGAGCATAACAACCTGCATATGAGTGAGGTTAAATAAGAATATCTTCAGTCTGCTGCTGAATTCCTTGTTAGTTTCTTGCTAATTCTTTGTGTTCACATTTTCCCTGCAGGAAGAAAACCTGGGAAACTTGATCCACGAAACAGAGTCTTTCTTTAAAACGAGAGACAAGGAATACCAAGAAACAATAGGGCAAATAGAGGTAAGGAAGTAGTTCATGACAATATGAATTGTTTCTAATGGACCAAAACATACACAACGTTCTGGTCCAGTAGGTTCTTGCATGTGTGTATGCCCACAGAGGGAAAGGTGGAATGTCTACATATCTAAGAATGCAAAGGCGTTTTCCATTTACGTACTCTTGGGATTTTTTCTAAATGCCATTCTCTATACAGCTCTGTTATTGAATAAATGTAAATCTGTAGCTAGTGGAAAGAGCACCTTCAGAACAAAGAGAATAAAAATGCACTATTATTCTCTTCCCCCTATTTGTTTTTGCATATCCACCGTCACACTGAGAAGTGCTTTATGAGATGTGGCCTCAGAGGTTGACAGACACAACAGCCGTAGCTTCTCAAAATCTTTGCCCTGCCTAGAATGTGCTTTCAGTAATTACTGCGTGTTGACAAACAAGATGCCAAGGAAAAAAAAACCAACTAGAGGGCTGTTTAAAAACAGCGTTGAGCTCTGATTAAAATACATTTCGTAAGCTGATGAATACACTGACAGTACACAACACTGAGGTTAAATATTAAAATACATTTCGTAAGCTGATGAATACATTGGCAGTACACAACACTGAGGTTAAACATATTGTGCGGGTGTTCTGGCTTGGCTCTGGGCAGCTTTAGCATCCTCACTAGTATGTAAAATTGTGTGAAGCTGGGAGAAACTGCTAGCAACTCACCTAAGGCTGATTATTTCCTCTTATTTCTTCCAGCTGGAATTGGCCACGGCCAAGAGTGACATGAATCGCCACCTTCATGAATATATGGAAATGTGTAGTATGAAAAGGGGCCTGGATGTACAAATGGAAACCTGTCGTAGGCTTATCAAAGGCTCAGCTGACAGGTAATAAGATCTTACCGTTCTGCCCCGGGTGCTTCAAGAATTTATTTTGCTCTTGTTTCCTGCCAAGCTGTTTCAAAGGCAATAGTATCATTTTGTCCTAAAGCTTTGTCCCTTAGATAGTCTTCTTTTGTTCAGGGTCAAATATCAACCTTTTAAAGGACCCCTGTAACATTGTATAGGTTGCTACACACTGTAACAACTTTTATGAATTCAACACACTTTGGTAAAAACAGGGATCTCTACCTTGCATGGATGCTTGTCGTAATGTCATAGATCTAGAACTCTTAAATGAAAGCCCAGATTAAATCTTGACTGTGGACGTATATGAAGAGCTTGGGTTTTATTCTTCCAATGTGTTAAGAACCCTATACTATAAAGGATTTTTCTTATCTCTTGCTTGCCCCAGTACACATCCTGTCTTAAGACAAGGGAAACTTTTTTGAGTTTTCGAGACTGTATTGTGGCTTGTATGTATTGTATGTATTGTGGCTGAGTGTGTCTGTAGGGTGTTCACTGGGCTTAGTTCCCATTTCCCCATCCTAGGGCAGCCTTTATGTTTGCATAGGAGATGGCAGGTGGTGACAGATGGAATGCTTAAGCTTGCTACTGATATTTACTGTAAACTCAAAGTTTAGTGTTAATAAAGGATATTTTAAATTGTTTGGGGAGGTAAAAGTGAACGTTTTTCTTTTTTTCTGTCAATGATAATTTTTAATCTATCTTTTTCTACAGAAATTCTCCATCTCCCAGCTCTGTAGCCAGCAGCGACTCAGGAAACACAGATGAAATTCAGGATGAGTTGGACAGAGAGACGGATGTGGAGCCCATGGTCAGCTGATACATAGTTGGAGCATTCCAGTGAAAGGGAAGATACAAGAGAAGATTAAAACCAGTACACTGATGGGGGGAAAAAAAAAGACTTGTAAGCCCTTGTCCTTGCACAGGGTTTCTAAGGACTCATTCCTACACGCATCCCCACCCCACCCAAGGATTGGTGCTGTAAATTTCTATTGTTATACAAATCATAAGCAGAGTCCTGTAAGAAAACACGTGTTTTAATTGTGCCTTTGCCCCAAGCTGAGCCACTTTGAGCTCCAGTGGAATATTAATAGCAGGTGTTTTTATAAAAAATATTGTTAAAAAAAATCTGGTAGCAGCAGAGAATGGTGCTGCAAAAGCTCTGGGCATTTCAATAAGCTTACAGTTTTATTGAACTGCTGCACTGATTGGCAAAGGGAGTGCTGGCAAAATGAGAAGCGAACCCAAGACAATTATGGTACAATTACCAATGTCTGGCACAAAAAAGAAAGCCTCCAAATTGAACAGTAAACGTTTAAAAATAACAGCAGGTTTAGAGACAGCTTTTAGGATTAAGCAGTTATACAACATTAAAAGGAAATTCTTCATTCCATCTTTTGGGGTGAAGGAGCCTTCGAGATTTGTACAAGCTTTCTGCTAGACTCCTGAATGGGAAGAAGCAGGTCTCAGCTCGGTGGCAAAGCAGGTGGACAAAGGAGGTTCAGTGGGGTGGGACTATCACTGATAAACTACTATGCAAAAAAAAAAAAAAGCTCGCCTTATTTATATGGAATGTTTGGTCCCTGCTGGGCTACAGTTATCTCTTGGGGAAAGGAAAGCTAAAAACACATTTGCACATGTTAGTTATCTGTAGAGCTTCTTTTGAGGAGGAATGTCATATTACAATGCCTTTGTTTCCAGTGATTGGATTAAGAGGGGAATCAGCCCTTCAGTTCCTGTGTTGTTTTCTTTTTTCAGGATTTCTTTTTTTTACCATAGTGTTTGCAGCTTTTACTTTGCTGACAGGGAGATAACTCCATTTTATGCTGCTTTCATGATGTTTAGAGTGGGATAGCTGAAGCATCAGGATAAACTGACATGCGGTGGTATAGATGTAGGCTTGAGACATGACACTGGGAGAGTTCCAGACCACTCTTCAGAAAAGCTGAACATCGGAAAATACTGTAATCCCTTTTGGGGCATAGTGAAATGAATCCTAAACTACTGCTGCCCTACAGTTAGAGAGGAACAGCCATGTGCTTTCTCTGTGAGAAAGTGAGAAGACCTAGGCCTTGTTGATGTTTCTGTATTTTTACACAGGAGAAAGCAGCATCAAAAGACAGATTGCTTGGTGGTATTTGAGGAAACTCTGGCATCATCAAGCTGTTCATGGTTATAATGGGAATTGTAGCACCTCAGACAGGTAAAAACAGGGTATAAACCTCAGCCAATAACTTTTTGTTTGTTTTTTTTTTAGACCAAGATTGAAAGTGTAGTTAATACTGCCTAAAGGTAGCTGTGTAGTTAACTAGCAGTTGTAAGACTTGGAATAAATACCAAATGTATTTTTTTTCCTGCCAGGAAGCTTAGAAACTGCTATGTAGGAGCAGTGCTAGGACTGGACAGGGAAATACCTGATTTAAGCACCCTCTCAGTGTTACGTAAAGGTAACCTGGCCAATCTTTTTAGCTTCCTGAGTATTGTTTCCAAACCTCTCTTATGTATTGATCTGAAATCAGCAGGGTTGCACCGTAAGCATACAGCCAGTATAGATCAGTGTTGTTTTCTTCCAATGAAGAGCACAAGTGTCTCAGCAAACGGCGCTTTCCTGGCCAGAAATGCCACTCTGTCTTCTGCAGCTATGCAGAGGGGCAGCACCTCTGGGGGCTTCTGCTCGCACTGTAACTGTGGGTACAGTAGTGTCCTCTCAATTTGAGTTTTGTGTGTTGCTGCCTGGCGTTTTGTCACTGTTCAGATCCATCTCCTGCTTGGACACGATGGTGCTTTTAGGCCATGTCAATCAAATGGACTCCCTGTGTTTCTCAGAGTGGGGAGGAGTACTGGGGTCATCCATCTGGATCCACAGTGTGGAGGCCGCAATCCACAATTGATGGCTTCCGTCCAAGAAAATAGATCCAAGGATAATCTTGTGGCTTGCTTACCGATTGAAATACTCAGTGCAGTTATTTGTAGAGTAGCTAGCAACTCCTTGGTTCTTGTGGTGTGGGTTAGGGGCTTTTTCGAAGCCTGTTTCATCATGTAAATGTAGATAACTTTTCTCTGGAAAAGAAACCTTATTCCAAAGTGCTCATTCCTATTATTTCTTAGGTGGCCAAAGTGGTAAATGTCATGTTCACTAGGGCTGCAAGGTGGGGGGGTGGGTGGGGGCAAGAGATGTGATATTTTTTGAGGGGCTGGGACTGCATGTTTTCAATAAAGTACTCTTAAGGTTTTCAAGCCTGTATGAACTTCAGCTGCTAATAAGTAGTTTCTCACGGGGCTGAGAAACCATCTGCCAAAGCTGAATGTCTGTAATGCTTTAGTGACTTTGGTGGAGGCATTGTTAAGCAATCGACTTGCACAGTGAATCAGCCTCCTCGGAGGCTGTGCTTCAGCTCTCCTCAGTTACGAAATGCTCTTTGGTACTGGAGGAACTGAGCAATTTTAACGCCCGTCCAGCTTAGCTGCAGGTTGGTTTTGGTTTTAGTTTTTTTAAATTTTCTTTAAAACTCAGTGTCGTGGTAGAACACAGGCTGAGTGTTCTTGCAACGAGCAGCTGGTGTGTTGAGGGTGGGGAAGAATATCCCCAGTTTGACCATGAGAGCCCAGTGAGGGAGCAGAAATTGAGCTGTCGAAACAAGCTAGCTGTAACCTAGCGTTTATCTCATAGCCATAATTATGAGGAGCGTCTGTAATAGGGTTGCATTTGTTGGTAAGTGTAAGGGATGTGGGTTTAGAGTAGAGGGTTTAGAAATAACGTGTACGGTGGTGAAGTGTATGACGGTAAATTACTGTGGTTCTTGGTGTCTGTTTCTTATAACCATATGTAATCCATTTTTAAAGAAAAGGTGTTTTCATTCTTGGGATCGGGGTTTTCTTTTCAGTTAGGCTGTGTGGGACTCGGTGGATCAGCCTCTCGGCAGTTACGAGGGTTGGGCCTGGGTAGTTTCCCTAGGAGGTCTTTGGTTTAGTTTCAAGCGATGCTGCTGACCTCGCTGCCAGCGGTCCTGTTCTGTGTGTGTAACCACTCTGTAGAAACCAGATCAAAAGCTTGCCAGAAAAAAAATGGTGAAAATGCTGGAAATGATTTTGATGACCTCTTTCTTTTTCCTTTGTAAAGCTGTAAATACTTTATTTTTGTTTTCTATTCTTAATGTGGTGTCATATTGACACTTTTTTAGACTTACAATCAGAAAATCCTCCTCATTGTTTCTCATTTTTTAAAGGGGAATTTCAAGGAAGCAAATTTTTTTGCTTGTTAGCAGTGTAATAATAGATCAAATTCCTAAAATGGGTTTGTACAAAAAATGTTTTCAGTGAACAAATCGCAGTTGCTTTTGTGGGTGCATGTTCAAAAATGTCCAAAGAATAATGTGGTACAAACATTTTTTCAAAGACTTAGTAATTGTCATATTAGTTCACACAACGAAAAAAACAAAATTCTTTACAAAAAAAAATGTCGGGGGGGGGGAAATGTAATGAAACTCATCTAAGCTAAATGTGTAATCTATTTATAAAAAACACAGTATATATTCTATTTTTATTAGAGGTTTTTAAAGTGCAAACAGAATTCTGTTAGCAAATGCAATTATTCCCTTGTAAAGTATCTTCTGCTCCGATGGGACTCCAAATTCTCAAACAGTTTCAAGCAACAACAATCGAACAGGTTCGGCTGTGAAGCACTCGCCCATTGCTTCCTGGGAGCAAGAGGCACAGGGAAAACAAAAGAGGTGAACAGCTTTGCTGTGACTGCAGAGTTATTGCTGTTTTCCCTGCGTTTTTTCCTTCCCTTGCTTGCAAGGCATCCTGCTGGAGAGGGTAAGGACCTCGTTTGCTCACCAAAATACCTGGGGTGATTGCAGCACAAGAGTCTTAAAATCTGCCCCAGAGTGGGTTTTGTGCTCTACCAGGTTGGAACCTAAATTGTGTTTGCCTACACCAGTATAAATTGGAATTAACTCGGTGAAACAAAATAATAGATCAGAACAGTGCCTGAAGACGGATCTAAAGCTCCTAATACAAGATATTTTTTTTGTATAACCATTCCTGCCAGCAAAAATACAATTTGGGTCACTGGTCCAAGGTTGGCTGTGGAAAGTCGCAGGCGATCGGTGGTGCTCTCAGCCTTGCCGCAGCGCTGCGGTCTCCGTAAAGCAGCTATTTCCTTCTGTTTCCCTTGGCTCTGGAAATACGCGGAAGGATGTTTGTGTTGGAGCGTGCGAGGAGGAGAACTGCAATACTGGGAAGTCTCTGATTGTGTTTCACGTTTGAGAGTGCTTCATTTTAGAGCTGAATGTTTAAAGCACGATTTATCACAGCAAAATTAAGAAACTGTAGAGCTTCTGTGGTGTAGTCATACCCTGCTGAGGATTTTCTTTGTTTTGCTTCAGGACTTCTGGGTTTTTTATTCTTTTGCACTGGTCCTGGACTTGGTTGCAGGGGAACACGCAGGTTTAAAAATATTTGCCTTCAGTGTTAAGTTAATCCTTGATTTTTAAGCTTTTAGTAGAATGTAACTTCTATCAGTTTGAGTTTTAAATGAGAAAAAAAACAGCCGATCGTGGCAACACGTGGTATCCTGGTGTCAATGATGCTGGTTTTAGAGGTGAATTAGAAACACTACCTGCCAGATTCTTAATTCAGTCCCTTGCCAACCTGTTTCTGGAGAAGGGAGCATTCTGAAGGCTTGAACCAAAGTCTTTGGCAGAGCGGTGAAGAAACACTTGATTATTTCTTTTTGTCTGTTTTTGTGTGTAGTTCAGTGTTTTGAGATCCTTCTGCACTTGCAGGAGCCTTTCAAAGCTTCTCTTTTGAAGAAGCAACAAGTTGTGTTTAAGAAGCAGGTATTGATGCTTCTAGAAATCACGATTCCCTCCTAATTTGAGGCACTCCAATGGTGAAGCAGGTCTGTAAGT